CCTGCAGATTCTGGCAGCTCGGCTCCTCCATTTATAGTCTCTGCCAGTTTTGAAAGACAGCTTCGCCAAACCTCCATCTCCAGCCTCTGCAACAGCCTGCAGCAATGACACCTCCACCTGCAGATCCTGACAAACAGCTTGGCCAAACCTCCAACTAATGTGTGGAAATGTGGCCAGAATTCATTTATAACATCATCCAGAAATCTACACTGCTGAATCCTGCTCGTTTGCCATGTGAAGACCTCAGCTGACCAGGGACCAGAGATGCACCAGGGACCAAAGAGCAGAGATGCACTCATAAATATAACCTTTCAGGTAAGATAGACAATCATAGCTGTGTAATAATAGCATACCTGGGCTGATAAATTAAAGCCACCTTTCTGTTTGTGATGGCTCCTTGTCCTCTGACCTACTTTTTGTTTGGTTGTGTAAAGTGCAAACTCTTTGTGCTTTTCTGCAGGCCCTGTTGGACTTAACAGACTTCCAGGAGCTTATTAAGGGCTGCGAGGACAATTCTATCCCCCAACATTTTCTAACAGAGAAAACTTATTTCACTTCCCCGTGCAGAGATATCCGCCCTGCTCTGTATGAATGTGTCCAGAGATTTTATCATGATTTGGCTCTACATCAGTAAATTTGGCTTGAATTGGTTTGAAAATGCTTGTTTGTCTGTCACTTTCTTACAAGTCATCAGTGTCTACTGTCTACAGTTAGTATGTCACTACAAAGAGTCTTGAGTTTCAGTTCCCAATAAGCCATCAGCAAAAGCTCATCAGTCATCTGCAATTATAAAACATGTTAATGAAGTATTAATAACAGATTCGTATAGTAATCCATTGATTTTGCAGTGGTAAATGTTATAAAGTTGATTAGAAATTGATTTTGTTTTCGATTGCCTGCAGCCCCTTTCCAGAAGGTCAAACATTTATCTTCCTGATAAAATAAGGACAAAAGGAATTCCAAATATAGCGTCATTCAGATCAGATGTAGTTTCATGATATAGAAATCACAGTTTGGGGTTCTCCTGATGTTCTGTGTCTTGTGTGTGTAGAGCAGGTGTCACAAAGTGCTTCACAATTAAAGACAAAAAAAACAAATAAAAGGCAGCAAAACAGACACAACATGCAGACATAAAACATGCCAAAAACATACAAATTATGAAATGAAGTGACATACTAAAAACTAAATTAAGGACCTGCAGTCCAACAGGAGAGAGCTCCAAAGTTCAGGTTTAGTGATGACCTCAAAAGGACCTCCAACACAAGTTTTGATTATTTTCGTAGTTCTCTCAGGAGTTCTCATGCACTGTCAGCACCCCTGCAGCTTCCCCTCAACAGCACCCAGTGGATCATCTTCCTTGATTTTCTCCTGCACATCTGCCTCCTGGTTCTTGACCTCAGCTTACATCTCCAGTTCCTGGTTCAAACTCAAACTTGAACTGACCTGCTATATTAATGTTAGCTGGCATGGCATTAATGGAGGCTGGGGTGGTACATCAGAGATACTGAACTGAAAACACTGTCGAGCCTGAATCATTCTGACCTCTTTTTTCACTTTGAGCTGTTATAAGGACGGCATTTCTATAGGCTCTGACCTGGCACTGGCTCTTGGTAATGGTCCATATATAAAATAATGCTAATGTTATGATTAAACAGGCAAATTAAGCCCAGCCCAACCACTTCACATTGGTGGTACATTATCAGTATTATGGTTGAAAAATCAGGCTAAGGAGAAATTCAATACTTTGGACATTTAGACCTGTTTACAGGTCATACTCCATAATACTGAAATGCACAAATCCTGTATGAAATGGTCGCTCCACTGTTGAGCAAGCCAACTTTGTTTCCTCTTTCCTTCTAGACATGTTGCTTGCACATTATATTCAAACGTTGATGATCCGCACATGCACATGAAGGAGGGATTGTTCACAGGACTGACTAGGACTGGAGCAACCGTATTGTGGTTGGATGAAAGAAAACAGCAATTTTGCAATTACCAAGTTATTTTTAATATGCACTTTATTGCATGAGCTAGCAGCCAACTTGGAGTTGATATTGAGTCGGTATTAGCTGTGAACCCAGCCTAAATGTTGACACACAGTCTTGGCACATTAATAAAATCAATGAAAATATCCCTTGTTACCACATCACTTCATGCAAGTAACATTAACGGTAATGTTATCTTAACAATGAATTAATATTGAGATGAAGGGCCAATAATAAAGAAAATGACAGAGTAACACAAACACAAGTAAATTTAGCACGCAAACTTGCTTAACACATTAGCCATTGAGAGAGTTGTGGAACCACTTGAAAGTATATCATTATTAAAACAGCAGTCATTCATGACACAGCAATTAATGACCACTATGTGTTCATATTTACCTGTGAACGGGTCACTGATGCTCCTATTATGGAATTCCTGGTCGCATATGCAATGCGCCATCCCACCACTAGAGGGCACTTGACCAACCTTCTTGACCAATGTGTGTCTCTACTCTGGTATTGTATTCAGATTTTTTCTAAGTGCTGTGTGAAATGCAAGGAAGGTTAGAGTAGCTTTAATCAAAAAAATAATCGCTAGATCATTCGCTAAAAAAATAATTGTTTGGGACAGCCCTAAAAGGGATGCAAAAGAGTCCAGTGTCTCTGTCAAACTGACCAAGTGATGTCACTTCAGTCAGTGTTGGTTGGCTGATAACTACTAAGTTTGAAAATGAAAAATGATCTGGGACTGTTGTGTAGTCAGAGAGAAGTTTACCAGATCTGTGTAAGCCGGTTCTGGCCAAATAAAATTCTTTCTTAATAAAAAACAATATATGATCTTCAAAAAGACATTTTCAAAAGAGTCCTGGAAAAAGGCAGATGTCTGTCACATAAGGTTAATAATGTATACTATGAGCAGATTAGGAGGCTATGTCAATGCTGTATGCACCACTTACCAGAAACAGCCAGACAGGCACAAAGAGTGGAGGAGCAGCAGGTCCCTCATCATCTCCTGTGTTACTGAGAACGTGAGACAAGGTGAGTTTATATAGTGGAAACTTAAAGGTCTTCTGAGCAATCATTTCAAGCAGTTTCAACTGAAAGGAGCTTAGCAACACGACTATGAAGTAGCCTGTTTTAGGCTATAAGCAAAAAAAAATAGAAAATAAAAAATTGCATGAGATAGTGATGGATTAAGAGAGGGAGCTGGAGGGCCTGAGGTCCATGGAGACTGCTTATGCATAGGGCCCAGCATTTTGGTGCTACGCCCCTGCATATACTCAGAATGTTCCCCTGGGTGCTGTCAGTGTCATCCATAACATCTTTCCCAATTCATTACCTATGGAGCAGCTCCAGACTTTAAAAATTTTGAGTTTTAACACTGTAGTTTTGGGATTTGGGAGAGAGTTGTTCATATTTACTAATATTTTTGGACCGTCTTAGACCATGGAAATTACATATGAATTTTGAAAATGTGCGACTCCCCTTTGAGTCAGTGCACAACGGCAGTACATGCACGCACACACACACACACACACACACACACATACACCCTCCTCTTCCACTATACACTATTTCACCATGTTTAATCTAATATTCATACTCAATGCACTTCGCAGAACCACTGACCACTTATGCTCCATGTTTGTACATATAAGCTCTCACAATATCAGTTTTCAGATAGAATCATTATGAATGTTTCCTTGTTAAAAAGATGTTCTCTATAGGCAGGGTCTTCACAACCTCACAGTCTTCTTTGCACAAGCACATTTGCAATTTTGTGTGAGCCCACACATTTCACACATGGGTTTTGCAGCTTGTGGCCTCTAACAGGAAATTACGGCCAAGACAAATGACACGTACAATGTGTCCTTTAAGTCTATATTTATTTATTTATTTATTTATATATTGGCTCAGAACTTTCACATACAAGAGGTCCCATCTCTTATCACAAGCTGAAAGGCTCGTGAAATCACTGGTCAAACTTAGGTAGACTACCAGTCAAATGGATAACGACTTCTCCCATTTTCTGTACTTAAGATGTACAGTAGTTTCACCTGTGAAGCAGAACTTTCTGACCCCTCTTCTGTGTTTGCATATTTTATTTGTTTATTGCATAGAAGAAGGAACAAACTACCAATGACATTATTGCAAAGAACTCTGAAAAATTAGGGAATGCTTAATATTCAGGGTGGGTAACAACTGACTGCAAATTGCAATGAGTTATTTAGACTGATGGTGTCTGTAAGTGGGCTCTGAGTGACATCTGCGACATACTGTGTATCAGTTTTGTGATTATGCATAATGTTTGCTAGTACCATATTACAAAAATTGTGACCTCAGTTCTGTTGCTTTGGCATTTAAAATGCTGAACCCTCAATTAGAGTCAGTTAGAGTTTGTCTAGGCTGTGATGGATTTTAAGATTGTTCCCTTTAAACAGACTGTTGTTTGCATTGACAACATTAATAGTATACTACTTGCGTGGACAGTGACAGAATTGCTAATTGGCATTGTAATTAACAAAACAGCCTATGGCTCTGAGTAAATTGGCTTGACTGATAACATGCCTGCAGTTGCACCTTGCCCTCACTGATGTCTCTGAAATCAGACATGGAGCTTGAGGTTTTACCAGTGGTTAGTGAGTCAAGGTGAAACGGCAACGGCCCATTTCTTTGTCTGGTAAAAGTAAACCACATTTCCACACATGCACATTCAGAGGAGTTAAGTGTGAAAGTGCATCTGCAAACTGTTTGTCTTTGTGTGTGTGTGTGTGTGTGTGTGTGTGTGTGTGTTGGGGGGGGGGTTTGTATTTGATATTTGGTGAGCAGTTTGGGACTGGCTATATAAGTCTCGGAAATTCACTGTCTGGTCAAAACTTTTGATCTGAGGGGTCGTCAACGCATTCTTCTCTGAAAAACTGGTGAGCTCAAAACTTTATGACTATGAAAGATTATGGGACAACTATCATCTTCTGCATTTTTATGTTATGTGTGTGTAAATTCAGAAGCTGTTTGCCCACCTGCAGTGATGAAGGGTAACACGCTGACTTGTGCTACACTGTGTTTGTTCCTTTGCTGGATGCTGCCTGTAGGCTCGAAGAAGGTGAGTGGTTTACTCCACCTGGTTAAATCTAAACATTGTGAATATCTCTGGTGTTGCTTACCCTGGATGCTGATTTGAAAACTTCAAGTCAGAAAAAGGTTCAACATTAAATGTTCTTGTTTTATCGATCAAGCACATGAACAATCCAGGAACTAATCTGGGAGCCCATGACTAGCAGTATGATATATGCTATATGGTAGTGTCAAGGACAATGATATTCACAACGGGACCTGGTGGTTTTCAGTTATACTGAATGTCTTAGCTTCAAAGGCATTAGTCATCAAAAAGTATGCTGAACTTTATCAAACTATGCAAGTGAGTTTGTTGTTATGCATGTTATTTATGTTGTACGTTGCGTGTAAATGTAAAATGCACATTCCGTGGAGACAAATTTGCCCTGGGAACAATGAAAATCTATCTTATTTTTCCTTAGCCCAGATTTCTCTACAGACACTCATGCACAGTGGTACAAACTGCATCAAATTCATGACCTTTCCTCTCATCTTTTCATACCCTCCCCTCTAGATCAGTTTTATCGTCAGTCTACCAGAGGCAAACTCAGGCATCCAAATGAGCATGGTTGAAGATGCTGTGGATGACATGTACTTTGGCTGCAACGAGACAATGGCAAAAATGGTCAAGGACAAATACTTTCAAAAGGAGAACAAGGGAATATTTAAAGACGTCTGGAAAAAGGCAGAAAGCTGTGCCAATCGTAATCTCAAAAATAAAGACACAGGGGATGAGGCTTTAACTAAAGAGCACATGCAGGCAATCTGTGTTTATACATCTGGTTATAAAGGGTTTTATCAGATGTTCAATGATGCAGTCCGGACCAACAGAAAAGTCTATGGCACCTCCTTTCCATTTCACTCCTTACAATTCTGGCTGACATCGGCTGTAAAGATTCTCAGTGAAAATAATAACTGTCACATTACGTACCGCAGAAGCAAAGTTGTGTTTACTGGCAATGTCAACCAAATGATTCGGTTTGGTTCCTTTACCTCCAGCTCTAAAGATCCAGCACTGTCCCAATTTGGTTGGAAGACCTGCTTTAAAATTACGACCTGTTCAGGTGCTTACCTGAAAAAATATCCACACTTAGGAAAGAAAGAGGAAGAGGTGGTCATCCCCCCCTATGAGATTTTCAAGATAACTGGGATAAAGAAGGATGCATCTGTAAAAGGTCTAGAAGACTGTGAGGTTGTGTATATCCTGCAAAGTGTAGGGCTTCAAAGCAATTTAAACTGCATGCTGTGTACCAAATTAAAGACCAAAGGTTTCTTTAACTTTAAGTAAAAGTAAAAGTCCACATAACCCTTCTAAAATCCGAGCTCATTACAATATATTGGTACATTCTCCTCAATCCCTAAATTCAGGCTTGGAGGCTCTTTGATTATTGTGGACTCAAGTTTTCATACTTCCCCAGCATACTGTGCAACAACTTTTTACAGTTTCTAAAAGGCTTTTTTTTATGTGTTCTTGCATTTATCAGCATTTCTATGTGAAACAAATATTTGTTTTTTCTGAATGAAATAAATACATTTTTTAAACATCAACATTTGTTTTGTCTTCCTTGATGAGCAGCAGTGGATTATTTACCAACAAGCTGATAAAGGTTAATATCATTTACTGTTTAATACGCCTCTCTTTCCTGCACAATTCTGGATTTCATCAGAATTAACCCTTTGAAACCTGAGCAAATTGGCTTGGTTTCTTTCAAAAACATGGGAAGAAGGCAAAATTACCCAGAAAATTGAACACAAGAAATTAGTAAAAAATAAATAAATAAATAAATAAATAAATAAAAATAAAAAAGTAGTAAAAAATAAATTTAAAAAAAGGACAAAAAAAGTTGAGGAAATGACCTGGAAAGGGAGCTTAAAAATGATGATAATTCTGTAATATAATCATAATTTTAAATATTTAATAATGCATTTATATTGGTGGCTGGGAATTCCAACTTGCAATGGATTGCAGGGTAAGACTGCAGACCCACTGTTTTGGCATCGCTACACCTACTGAATACTGTGCATCTCCTCCAGCTGGGGTGCATGATGAGTCACCGAAATATCAAACCAGTGCAGCTGAGGAAATAAACTTGGTGGCTGTGAGAAAATGCCTGTCAACCAGTGCAGCGCTGTACTCCTCGCTGTATGCTCACACCACAATTCAAAGTTAGCCCCTCCTCCCCAGCTCAACGACTCCTCTTGGATGCTGTTTATGATCTAACACCTGATTGCTACTTTTTTTATAGAGTCCCTCCCTGACACTATGTATACTGTTATTGGTTCAGGGGAGAATGCACCACTGCCCAAAGACAGACACCCAGCAAAATAAGAAAATATAGGCAGAGAGTGGGATCCCTGCAGATACACACATCACCATACACCTTGAATAATGATTGAGAGGGTATTTTAATATTTGTCTATACATCATTTTTAAGGAAAATCCTGCTCATTCTGCCTTTAAATAAAGGTAATGTATTTTATTTTCTTGAACATACTGAGGCAGAACTTAGAATAAAAGCAGTGAAGAGTTTCACAGTTTCACAAAGACCTGTGTACACCCCATTCCAATGAAGGATTGAATTATGGACATCCGGTATGTTGGAATTATTGATTTTATTTTTTAACTTAAAGCACACACAAAAATATCTAGGGGATATGTATTTAAAAAAGTTTGTATCCCGACTTTGTGGGCTTGTCCTTTATATACTGCTTCATACTGATGTGGGCTTTGCTGGCGACCATCCGCTCATCAATGGACAGATTATTGTATGGCTGGAAATGGGCTTTGGGCGTACACCATCTCTGTGTACAGGGGCTCTATCTTGAAACGTCTGTCATACCCAGCAGTGTTCCTTTTCTTTGCATTTTCTTCATCTTCTTTTGGGTTGATGAAGTGACCACAAAATTGCCTCAAAGCAGTCCCATGACATCTTTTCACTGGGGAAGGGGAAGGTGTACGGCCATTTCTTCATCCAGTAATCTGACCTGTGGTGGACTGTCACAAGGCCAGTGAAAATGAGCTAAAGCTAAAAATGTATAAAAGTCCTTCACTGTGAGCACTTCCCACTTGAAACGCATCCCGGCTTGCTTTCTTTTGGCAGCGTTGGCATTTGTTTTTCAATTATTTTTCTGACAACAGAAGCAGAGAAGAAAAGATGGAAGATGGGAGACCATGCTGTGGTGGTGTCAAATGTGGGTCCAGGGTTCCTGGCCGGCATGTATCTGGGAGGGTCAGGTTCGATGTCCTCCTTCTCTCTGTCATGCCACCTGTCCTCCTCCTCACTCTCTGTAGGTGTCAACCTCCTTTTTCCAGGCCTTTTGCTAGCTGGAGGAGAAGTTCCCAGAGAGGAGCGTCCTCTCTTCCACTGAGTGGTGGGGGGAGGGGCTGCTGGGCATGACTGAGGTGTTAACTGCGGGGGTTGTAAAACTCCTGGGGGGTATTCCAGGTAAGAGGTTCAACAAACTCAGAGTCTAATCCTGAACTCTGAGTTGACTTACCCTGAGATGGGAAACTCTGAGTATCCGGTTCCAGAACAGCTGATTTGAATTAGTTCAATCAACTCTGAGAAGGTACACCTTGAGTTAAGCGCATGCACAACCACAATAAAAAGCCATCATCAATGGAGCCCTGATACCTCGATTCACCATGGCAACCGCAGAGAAAAGGCGATCAACTTATTTTACACCTGTGGAACTGGAGGTGCTCATGAACGCCTACAGTGAATATGAGCCAACATGTAAGTTTGAATGCACTAGTCCATTAATTTAACAGCATAGGCCTACATGTTAGTTGTAGTATGTTGTGATGTATAGTCTGTCACTTTAAGATAAAAGGCTAGTTAATGTACCTGAACATTAATGCTGTGGAAGGACTTCCTATTAACATAGTCCCCCTCATTTTCGGCTGGAGCAGTGATGGGTGTTTGGGTGCCATCTATTCACCCTGAGACGCTGGGAAGCCCTGTAAAATAATAGCTAATTACTGATCTCAGTCTGAGGTTGCAGTAGAATGTCTCTAACATAATATTAAATATAATATAGAATACAGAATATATATATAAACTGATTTCTACATCGGCTACATGCAATCCTGTGGAATTCCTCTTTTATGTTCCTAAGAGGTTTGTGTCCAGGGAACACCACCATTATGGGCAGCAGGTGTTTCAGAGCTAGTGTCAACTTTCTGACAGCTCTAGACACCATGGCCTCTCAAATGTGTTCTGCATCACCAATATCATATAAAAAGCTACCGTTCTGATGAGAGCGCACGTCTGTGGTGTGTCAGATTTGATATGAGTGGCAGGTAAATGATTGAGTCCAATGAAAAACAGTACCATTCAAACAGATATTCATTGGGGAATGACAGCACATCTAAACGGGGTCTGAAGATCCTCTCCTGGCGTAAGGCATTGTGAATTAATTCTGCTTCGGTATCGATCGGATTTCCTACATACAACAACCCATGTCTGTCTGCCAGCTTGCTTCAGGCTCGGCAGTAGGGAGGAGACAGGGTGAACTCAGGGTTTCTTATAGAAAACCTGCCAGCGAGCAGGTTAGGTTCACAGAGTCAGTTGCCATGGTGATTGACTCAGAGTGTGACTTACATCTCTGTCTGGAACTGAAAACCCAGAGTTTCCCTCATTTCAGGGTTAACATACTCAGAGTTTTCACTAAACCCGCCTTCTGAAATACCCCTCAGGAGCCAACTGTCTCCCAGCTTTTGTTTGCTGTGTTGATGTTGAAGGTCCTGGGTCACTGTTAGCCTGGAAATCCAGACCCAAATCTAGAAAGATTTAGGGTCTGGCTATGAGTAATGCAAATGGCCCAGCTCGAGGGGCGGCACCAAGCATGCATTTGAAAATATCACTGCATGCAACTGGATAACACTACGACCAATCAGAACAATACACGGGGTGACGTATACGCTTAGCTACCAGCGGAGCTAACTGGCAGATTAGACTGTTGCCGTATCCGGTCGGCAAAACAGCAAAAACGTCCTTCTTGCAAAGGAAAGACTCGAGCTCCATCTTCTGTTCCTCTTTTAGAGAAAAAGCCAAGTCTAACTTGTTCATTGTAGCGGCCAAAGCTGTTTCAAACAAATGCTGTTCATCCGTAGCCATCTTGCAATGTTTACTGACTGATTCCGGACTTCGTCGTTGCAGCGCTGTCGTCATCTGTTTAGCTCGCCTCTGGCCCGCCTATATCAGATAAACCAATGTGACTGGTGCAGCTCAGCTCCAACGGCATAGGTAATGAGCATCATTACTGATTGCCAGAGTGACTTGCTGAGCAAATTCAAATTGTGCTCTAACAAGAATTCTGGATTTCCAGGGTAGGTCACTGGCAAGGCGTGGCTCATAATCCTCATCCTCATCACTGTAAACCCAAATGCGGAACAAAAACAAATATATTCATTCAGTGGCCTGGTTCTGAAATTGCAATTACATGTAGACACAAAAGCAAGAAACGTGGTCAAAATAAACACACACTGTGCCAGGGAAGTCAACACACACACACACACACACACACACACACGCACATACATTACATTGTATTACAGTATTACATATGTGTTTTTTTTATGCTAGACAAAAGAAAAGTAGGGGGCAGCTTTGCATCACTGTCACAATTGTAAACTGAGTAGTACCACTGGACTGTTTTTATGTTTGTTTGTTGGTTTGTGTTTGTGATGAGGAATAGTTTTCTGATGGCAGTGAGGGTGATTTTATGTTAATGGCCTCCGACATATAAAACCACCATCATAGTTTTTTAAAGCCTGCATCGTGATGAAGATATCAGTTCAGTGTATTCTGGGACTGTTGTCATTGCTACATACACCGGGGGTTCAGATGACTGGGAAATCTGCCTTTATCCTCTGTTTTGCACTGGCAACTTATAAAAAAGCACTAATGGTCCTAGCTGTTTAAACACTTATTGACACTGCTACTGTAACTGGCATTAAAATGAATAAGGTTTGCAGTTTGTTTGATTCAAATCATTTAGAGTTGTAAGCTTCAGACCTACATATTGTAATCATAAAGAAATTCTGCATGTGGTGCTTTAATATGCCACTGCTTTTATCTAGTGGGTAAAATGTGGATGGTTCTGCATTAAAATGGTTTGTAACACAATGATTCGTAAGCCCATCTGAGCCCTTAGACCATGAACCACATGACAGGAAACATGTCATTTCATCGGTAAAATCAACACTATTTCCTTTAGCAGCCACAGAATGCTCATAACACACCCTCCATCTTTTGCACATGCAAAAAAAAGCTTGCCTAAACAATTCATACAGTTTATCATATATACAGATCCCAAACACATGTTAAATCCAAACAGATGCGTATAGCTGTCAAATGTTTGGCATATTTATGATTAAAATACATACAGTATAATGTTGTCTATTTTGCTCGATGTAAAACACATTTTGTGTAAAGTACATGTATGTGTGTCTGAAAGTGAGAGGCTTTTTTCCTTACTGCAGTGATGAACATGCTGATCTTTGCTCCTCTGTGTTTGCCCTTTTGCTGGGTG